GGCCTATTTAACTCGCTCGGCGAGCTTCATCTGCCGCCGGGGGAAATGAAACGAAGATGCACGAGCCTACGGGGCGCGGAAGAAGAAGAAGAGTAGTGGAGCAGCGCTTGGACTGTGTGGTTGGGTGAAGCATTCTAGGCCTGTCTCACTCGGAAGTACGCTGCTCTTTCACAACGCCATTTCACCTCATCTTTAAATAAATACAGTCACTCGCAACAATATATATATATATATATATATATATATATATATATATATATATATATATATTGTAATGAAATAATGAATCGCGATTTGAGAAAAGTTACAACGCCGCTAACGAATCTTGCTCTGCGTACAGCCTTCTCCCATTTCATCGCGCCGACAGCTCAGTGCACAGCACGCGTTTTTATTCAAGATGTTTGGTACGCCGTCAATTTTGTTGTTCTGCCACGTTCATCTTACGACGTCATACTAGGATGGGATTTCCTTTCTACCCATCAGGCCCTCGTCGACTGCGCTCGTGCTGAACTCACGTTGACGAATCCGTGGCTTAATATCGACCACCACAGTCCCTCGAAAGTGTTTGCCACTGCTGACGTCCGCATCGCGCCGTTGTCCGCCGTCCTAGTGCCTGTGTTTTCCCCTGCTGCCACTAACTCGACACTCCTGTTCCAACCAACTATAGCTAGTGTGCAACACCTAACCATCGTCCTCGTGTTTGCCGTCATCAACTTTTCCAATGGTTCAGCGGTACTTTATGCGTGCAACGTTTCTGCTTGCTAACGTTTATGCGTGCAACGTTTCATCCTGCTACGCGGCGAGTGTCTGGGGAGCCTCGAGACCTTAAATTGTATTTTCGAAGACCCGATCTATCCAGACATGCCATTTTTACCGACTTGTGCCATTACACCCCCAACTGACGCTAATGAAAATATGGATGTATTCCGCAAGTCCATTGATTGCAACCTCACGCCTGGGCAGCAGGAACAGCTGATCAAGCTCCTACAGTGTTTTCGGGCCTCATTTTACCACAATCAGCCTTCCTTAGGTCGAGCGTCATCTGTTGTTCATCGTATAGATACCGGTCAAGAGACGCCATTTCGGCAGCGTCTATATCGTGTGTCAACTACCGAACGCCGTGCCATCAATGAACAGGTTGACGACATGCTGACACGTGGCATAATCGAACCGTCAAGCAGTTCCTGGGCCTCTCCAGTTGTGTTGGTGAAGAAGAAGGACGGATCCATCAGGTTTTGCGTGGACTACCGACGTCTCAACCGAATCACGCGCAAGGATTTCTATCCGCTGCCACGCATTGACGATGCCTTGGACTGCCTACAGGGAGCCGAACTTTTCTCTTCTTTAGATCTGCGCTCTGGATACTCGCAGACACCCATGGCAGAGGCCGATCGCGAGAAAACAGCTTTCATCACGCCCGACGGGCTTTACGAATTCACAGTCATGCCCTTCGGCCTCTGCAACGCGCCAGCTACTTTCGAGCGAATGATGGACTCTATCCTTCGATGCCTCAAATGGAACGTTTGCCTTTGTTATTTAGATGACATTGTCGTCTTTTCAACTGATTTCGCAACCCATTTAACCCGCCTCGAGAAAGTCCTCGCGTGTATTTCTGCCGCGGGGCTGCAACTGAATCTGAAGAAGTGCCATTTCGCTGCTCGAAAGCTTACGATCCTTGGCCACGTGGTTTCAAAAGACGGCATTCATCCTGACCCTGCCAAACTTACAGCCGTTTCAGCGTTTCCCAAACCGACCCCAATGAAAGAGCTTCGAAACTTCATTAGGCTGTGCTCTTACTTCCGTCGCTTCATTCGCAATTTCGCGACGATCATCACTCCTTTGAACAAGCTCCTCACCGGCTCTAGAGACCTTTCAGCCTGGTCTGCCACCTGTGACGATTCTTTCAATATACTGCGCCGCCTCCTCACGTCGCCGCCTATTCTGCGACACTACGACCCATCGGCACCCACAGAGATACACACCGACGCAAGTGGTGTCGGGCTAGGCGCTATTCTTGCACAAAAGAAAGACGGCTTCCAAGAGTACGAGGTTGCCTCCGCAAGCCGAACTCTTAGCAAAGCCTAAATCAACTATTCCGTCACTGAAAAGGAACCCCTGGTCATTATTTGGGCGATAGAAAAATTTCGACCTTACTTGTACGGACGCCCTTTTGACGTCGTGATTGACCACCACGCCCTCTGCTGGTTGTTGTCACTGAAGGATGCAAGCGGTCGCCTCACCCGATGGGCATTACGCCTCCAAGAATATAATATTCGCGTGGTCTATCGCTCCGGCCGGAAACATTCGGACGCAGACGCCCTATCACGTTCGCAGACGCCCTATCCCTACCCCCTTACCCGGACTGCTGCGAAAGTCTAACCTGTGATGCCACTGCCATCACCATCGCCGACATGCCATCTGAGCAACGCAAGGACCCGTGGGTTGCTTCGATTCTAGACATCCTGGCTGGGCGGAGGGCTTCCCTCCTTCTCGCACGTTGCGTCGGCAAGTCGAGCACTTCGCCACTCGCGACGACGTGCTGTATCGACGCAACTACGCACCCGGTGGACGTCAGTGGCTACTCGTGATTCCACGTCATCTGCGATCCGAAATTTGTTCCACGTTTCATGACGACCCCCTATGTGGACACGCAGGTTTCCTGAAGACTTCTTCTCGCATACGTCTCCGATATTACTGGCGTGGCATGTACCGTTTTATACGACAATACGTTCGAGCCTGCTCGATATGCCAGAGATGGAAAACTCCCCCTTATCACGCCAGCGGTACCTTGTTACCCTTACCATGCCCATCCCGACCATTCGACCGCGTCGGCATTGATATCTATGGTCCCCTTCCCAACACTGCTGACGGTAGCCGCTGGATCATAGTTACCGTTGACCATCTCACGTGGTATGCCGAAACTTCATCACTTCCCTCGTCTACAGCAAAAGACGTTGCGACTTTCGTACTTCACAACATCGTATTACGTCATGGCGTATCTCGGGAATTACGTGAGCGATCGTGGTCGCGTATTCTTGTCAGACGTCATCACAGCATTGCTGCGTGAGCGCCACGTCGTTCACCGCACTGCAAGCGCCTATCATCCCCAGACCAATGGAATGACAGAGCGCTTCAACCGCACCCTTGGTGACATGCTGTCTATGTATATCTCGTCAGACCACTCCAATTGGGACCAAGTGCTCCCGTTTATCACGTTCGCCTATAATACCGCCATTCAAAGCACTACTGGGTTCTCTTCTTTTTTCCTCCTTTACGGACGTGCACCTTCTTGCACTATGGTCACCATTCTTTCGTACAAACCTGACTCCTCAGAGTCCACGACTTTGTCTCAAGCCGCTACATACGCTGAAGAATGCCGCCAACTGGCAAGATCATTCACAACCCAAGACCAAGGACGCCAAAAGCACCACCATGACGCATCAAATAACACTACTTCCTACGATCCAGGTTCACTCGTCTGGCTGCATGTCCCTTCTGCTACACCTGGCCTTTCTACCAAGTTGGTCCCCGAGTATCACGGCCCATATCGTGTGCTACGGAAAACGTCACCAATGAATTACCTCATTGAGCCACTGGAACCATCTTCTGACCAACGTCGTCGTGGCCAGGAAATTTTCCACGTCTCAAGACTTAAGCCCTGCTACGACCCTCCCGTGTTTACTTGTACATAGGTCGCCAGGATGGCTCCTTATTTCAATCTGAATAACGGACGCTATGCTGGCAATGAAGAAGACGATGATGATCGGTGGCTGTAGTAGTTGATCGCGCACGCCGCTCGCCAGTAGCCAGACCTGCCTGATGAAGCATATTTTGCCAAGCCGCGTCTGAACCTTTTTCGACGTACAACACCTCTATTTTATTATATATACATATATATATATATATATATATATATATATATATATATATATATATATATATATATATATATATATATATACGGAAGCGAGAAAGCACGACGTACGAAGACACACTTTCAGTAATCGCATACGTTTCGGCTGGTGGTCCAGCCTACGTAAGTGTGGTCACACTGACGAAGGCTGATCCACCAGCCGAAACCTTTATTTCTGAATTATATTTCCACTGGACCCAGAGAAATTCTTTTTTGAATCATATGTACACACACACACACACACACACACACACACACACACACACACACATATATATATATATATATATATATATATATATATATATATATATATATATATATATAGTCCAGTAGATCCTCCGTGAGCGGTCACAACGTGGTTTATTTCGACGTTTCGGCCTAGAGTCTGGCCTTCATCACAATCCTGATGAAGGCCAGACTCTAGGCCGAAACGTCGAAATAAACCACGTTGTGACCGCTCACGGAGGATCTACTGGACTATATACAACGCTACGGCCACTCAACCACCATGCCTGCCTATTATATATATATATATATATTTCTTGGACATTTTCAGAAACATGTCTTGGCGCGTTTGTAATTTTTACAGGATGTAAACGACATTGCTAATATAATAAAACGTAATGGCAGTGGAAACTAAAAGGATGCTTTTTTATGTTATTTTATGCCTCAATAAAGTGTACCTTGCTGATAAGAAGTCAGACTGACTTCGCCTCGTTGACACATTGAATGAATTCCAAAATAAGTGGAACACCTATAGTATCTTTCACGTTTTCGTAATACTAAAATTGAAAAAAAATAACCTTGTGTAATACAGATATCCTCACGAACTCTGACAACTCTTGTGAAACGATCCTATCAATCTGATTCTATCTGGCCTAAGAGTAACCGACAATAATGCAAGGTCCAAATGCTACAGTCAGGGGTCTCTCATTATTCTATACTTTAGTTCTCTTCTTCAAAGCTCCTTTCGCCAATTTTATTCACTGAGGGTTTCAATGAGAGTTAAAGTTTCATTGTGCAACAACCGATACAGAAGCGCATTTTAAAATAATTGTGCACCAACCCGGACTTTTCATTACAGCTTGTGAAATCACAGAAGTTTCAAAAGTTTGACTATGGGCCGTTTTATAACAACGATTACTACGGAAAGGTAAGTCCTCTAGTTTGGCTTGCTCCTGCTCATGAACTCGCCTTGTTAAAATAAAACATTGCATTTTAGCTCGAATGAATAAAAATGTTAACTAATCAAATATATACAGACAGCTTGAGTAAAGCAATCATTGAACACCCAGTTAAACAGATTTATGCCGCAATGTTACATCTCACCCGTGGATTGATAAGTGAGTTTTCTTTGTGTGATTTACGTGTCATATAAGAGGCTTTTGGAAAATAAGATCCCTGAAGGTTGGTGCACACCGGCGACTAGCAACAGTCGCGTGACCATTTGCGACTGGTCGCAAACAGTCGCGAACGGTCGCAAACGGTCGCAAAGCGACTGCTTTGGCTAGTCGCTTCCTGACCTGATTTTTCAGTCGCGCGACTGCAGTCGCAAAGCGGCTGGAACCAATTAGCGATGCTGATTTGTTCTTTTTTGTTCTTTTGTTTCTTCATTGCGCTGGCTTCCTGCCGCCAGATACAAACGAGTGCGTTCCTCTGGGTCTGTGGCACCATGGCAACCATGGAATACTTGGCTTGGAGATGGCGGGGCGCAGCAGCTCGAGCACAGTGTCGAATTTACGTGGCGGCATTCGCAAGAAGCTAAACACCGCCAAAGTAAAGAGAAAATAAATTCGGCACTATTCTTTCCCCGTATTCAGAAACGTTTTTTTTTTAGGGGCGAGGCTCCTTATAGCGGCACCTGTTCATATCTCGTAGGCGTAGTAGTAGTGTGTAACCAGTCTTATATTTTGACCTCCAAGGTGGTGCCGGTGAGTTTTTTTTGTGCGTTGTTGAACGATAAGAAATTCGCAGCGTGCGCGTTAACTAAAAGTCGAATTCTCCTGTCTGTCATTCTTCCTTAGCAACCATTGGCATGTACATTGAGCACTATCTTACAAGAAAGTGTTGCTACGTTATACTCGCTGGGTGTAACCTTTTTGGTTTTAGAAAGGTTTAGCGAGCGTTGGGCCGCAGTGCCATGAATACAGTGAACTAGTATATACCATGAACTTGAGGTGGTTAAAGCTGGGAAGTAGACGCGAAGCGCAAGCCGTAAGAAAGTGTGCGTGTGCCACCTCTCTTTTAGTCCTTGGAATGTCCACTGGATGGCGGTGCTTCTATATGGGGAATATATGATCAACAGATGCGAGATGGTGGTACTTGGAGTGTTAAATAGATGGACGAACAGACACGCATTTTGCTTCTATATGGGGAATATATGGTGCTTCTAAATAAGGAATATATGATGAACAGATGCAAGATGGTGGTACATGGAGTGTTGTATAGATGGACGAACGGACAGATGCATAGATGAACGCATGAGCGGACGCAGAGGCGGATGCATGGACGAACGCAGGGACGGACGCTCGAACAGACGCACGCATGGACGGTCACACAGACGGACGCATGAAGCGGACGGAAGCAAGAACGAATGGACGGACGAATGTTTCGCCCCACTCTCCATCATTCACTCCATGGATATGCTGCCATTTTTTTTCTTTGGAGGCATCTGTGATGCCAGCGCTGACACCAAGGCACAGCGCATCAGCACCATGACAATGTATTGTTCTTCGCTTGAATCGTACTTGACGGTGTTGGGAACGCTGTGCGAGGATGGACGAAAACAATAAATGCGGCGCGCCCGGTTTTCTCCGCTCACTCAGCTGGCGGCGATCAGCTCATCGGCGCCGGTCTCCAGAGTTCTCGCTGATAACGAGATGCGGACGTGACACTTTTGCGACTTCCGGTCGCTTGCATGCAGCCCACTGCCGGTGTGAACATCAGTCGCTTTTTGGTCACCAGTCGCAAATGGTCGCACGACCACTGCTAGTCGCCGGTGTGCACCAGCCTTAACTTAATATTGCGATGACAATTATATGGTCACTCTCGGCTGGATTTTTGAGATCCTCCATAAGCGGTCACAACGTGGTTTATTTCGACGTTTCGGCCTAGAGTCTGGCCTTCATCAGGATTGAAGGTACAGTTTGTTGGTGCTCAGCTTTATACTATCTCAAATAAGAGGGGGGAGAGAGAAAGAGGAAAAAAAGACAGAAAAAAAGGGAAAAAAGAAAAGAAAAAAAGAGAAAAAAAAGAAAAAATAAAAGAACTAAAAAAGAGAAAAAAATATAAGATGGACTCCCCCCGGGCGTCCCCATTCCACTCTTCCTTCCACGTCCCCCTCCATCTCTCTCCCTTTTCTCCTTTTCAACTTTCTGATGTCTTTGGTCTGAGTATGCTTCCTTTCACTAACACATCTTCTCGACCATACGGCGCCTCCTGGCTCTGGCAGTTCGTTGTGTGGTAAAAAGAGCTTTTTTAAGAAGTTTAAGCCTTTAACAACTCAGCGCCCCGTCGACATCTAGTCATACAAATAGGGGTGCCCCGTATTGCCACAGAGGCTGTTAAGCGGGCGCAATGCGAATTCCTTGCCCGCCTATGGATTACGCGTGCGGAAGGGGCCTCCCGGCTGCACACAGGGTTGCTGTTGGGCATGTCATGCATGGCATAATTGATTGGGTAGTAAAATAAAACAGAAAACAGACGACAGCTGTACTTAGGCAGAGTAGTTACACATGGAATTGTTTTGAGTTGTCCAGTGCCCTTCGCAGCTGCAGTGCCGGGAACTCAGTTACTATTTTCATTATTGCCGTTGTTGTTTTCTAATGATATAATCTGCAAGTCTACCAGGATTCTCATTTATTCATCGAGGGTGTTAAATCGGTGGATAAGCTATGACTCTCATTGTTCACGTTCTCGGTTTTATTTAAATCCCGTCTCTAGGAGCGTTTCTGATAGTTTGTCGAATGCATGGTCGGGAAGATTAACATGTTTTAATAGGGGTAGATTTGGGGCTGATTTCGCATGGGCTTTGTGATTATTGAAGCGAATCCTAAATGGTGTTTCTGTTTGTCCGATGTACTGCATACTACACACGTTGCATTCGAGTCGGTATACCTCATTAGAGGAATCGCATGTTAGGTTTCCTCGTATGGTAATCGAAAACTTGGATTGTGTGCTGGTTGCTTTGTGTGTTTCTCGCATCGCCTTACATACAAGACATCGTGAGATTAAACAAGGTCGGCATGAATTATTGGGGGGTGAGGTATTTATTTGAGTGTGGACAAGTGTGTCTTTGAGGTTGCGTGGTCGTCGGTAAACGACGCCTGGAGCAGATGGGAATGCGCATTTCAGACGTTCACTTTGTTCCAGAATGTTGTAATGGCGTTTAAGGATTTCGTTTACATTGGGGAAGTTTGTGCTGTAAGTCAGCAGAGGTTTGTTCGTTGTGGGTCTTCTTGCGGTGGTCGCTTCATAAGTAAGTCATTACGCTTCAGTTTTCTCGCTTTTTGAATAGCGTCACCAAATACACGTGGGGGGTACTTTTGTTTCTCTAGCATAAGTTTTAGCCTCTGTAAGCTTGTGTCAAAGTCGGCCTCTCTAGAGCAGATTCGCTTAAACCGGTGAGCCTGGCTGTATGGAATACTGTTTTTACAGTGGCGCGGGTGATCGCTTTGGTAAAGGAGGTATTGTTGTCGATCCGTTGGTTTGCGATATAGGGTTGTAAAGAGCTTGTCCTTTTCTATCGTTATGGCGACAACAAGAAAATTTACGGTTACTTGCGAGTATGTGTGTGTGCAGTGTATGTTCGGATGTACAGCATTGTCAGTGGCGATAAAGCTGAGAAGTTCATCCTCGCGGTGGGTCCAAATAAGAAATATGTCGTCTATGTATCTTCTGTACAACAGTGGTTTCAAGGAACTTTGTGCGAGAAATTTCGATTCTAGCTTTCCCATAAATATGTTGGCATAATTGGGTGCCATTTTGGTGGCCATAGCGGTCCCGCTGATTTGTCTAAAATACTCTTGGTTAAACTCGAATGAATTTAATTCGAGGACCATCCTCGTCGAAGTTGCGATGGCTGATAAATCTGGGGTGTTAGGTTGTCTATGGTTTGTGTACATGTTTTGTAATGCAGCTATGCCGTCATCGCGAGCAATATTTGTATACAATGAAGAGACATCAAGAGTAACTAAGTACGAGTTTTTCGGCACATACAGACCTGCAATGTCCCGAAGAAAATGTGTGGTGTCTTTTATGTACGACGCGAGGGTGCATGGAGTGTGGCTTATTAGTTTGCCCACGTACCCTGAGATAGGTTGAATTGAATTGAATTGAAGTTGAAGTTTATTTGTCCTGAAATTCTTACAGGACCGGGAGCAGAAGCTAAAGGCTATGTAGCCTGACATGGGGCCTGTGCTCCTAAATACAGTTTGGCACGCTGGTCGCTCAATCTGTCGAATATCTTTTCAGAAGTAAATATATAACACAACAAATAACACACAGAAATAATAAAATAACACAATAAATAAACCACAGCGTCACCTTCTCAGCAATCACCGCACTATGTGTCAACTACGCAGCCTTCATTGAATGTCCTCGCCTCAAGGACAGCGCCTCCTTCTTTCCATGCCTGGCGTCCATCTCTACCTATTTGCTATTATTGCGGAACACGTGGTCACATCTCACGGTTCTGTCGTCGACCGCAACTAGACGAAAGGCGGGGCTATGGTGACTTCGAGAGGGATGAGTTTGCCGCTGCTCCAGAACATCGCCACCCATGCTAACTGTACCAACGCCGCTCACCATCTTCACAGCAGTTCGACGCAGCCAGTCCCTTCCGCTCCTCGCGCCGTCGTTCCCCGTCGCTTATGCGCCGTTCCTCGTCACCACTTCGTCCGGCTACCACGGCGTCTGGTCATCGCCCGGAAAACTAAACGATGCAGTTTCAGGAGGGAAAGCTACATTTGGCGGACTGCATCGAACTTCTCCGGAACGGCCTTCAAATGTACTTTCAGTGTGGGTTGAGGGTATATAAACAGAATCCTTGGTAGACACAGGTGCATCGCTGTCCGTTATTAGTGTGGACTTGTGTTCCTATTTGCGCAAACTGAAGACACCGTACGATGGTCCTCCCCTTCGCTGTGCTAATGC